CGCAAAAAGTGTCCTTTGCTCTAATCCTGGTTAGCGCAGATTTTCTGCTTAAGAGTATGTCCCGAAATCATGTTAATGCAATTAATGCAAAGGTGCAGGCGAGCTATTCAGTTATGTTGTGAAATATTCTTGCTTGTAAACGTATTCTTAAAATATGCAATACTTTCAGACAAGCTCCAACGAAATACATTGCTACTTGAACCACTTAAAATTTTCTTTAAAAGATGGTCCCCAAATTGTGTAATTACAAAATGGACTATGTACACTGCGCGACAACGTTACCACGAACACGATCTTGGCCATTTTTCGAATTTTACTTCGGAATGGTATGAGAAGGTACCACATTTTACCGCTTAGGTTAGTGGCCCAGATGAACACTTTCAAACATACTATAGTCGGATGCAACCTGAGAACAATCTTTTAGCTCCACCCACAAGCGCATTGCGCCCATCTGAAGTGCCTCCGCCGTCGAGAAAGTAGTTCGCTAGCAACGTTGCTTTTTCTTCCTCCAGGAAACGTGTCTTAAACTACTACAATATTTATTTAATTCATTCAGGACATTTAAATAAGTTAGAATACGTTTTTGTCAACGAAATAGCTGTTTAGTAAAGAAAGAAAGTTATGTCCAATGTACCGTCTTCCCAATTCATTTTCAGTCCAAGATACTAGTCTAACATACCGTCTAACATACCTCTCAGCAGTGCTAAGCCTCGCGCCCGCTTCGAAATTTTCGTTGGCGATAGCGTCGCTGGATTCTCACGTTGTCGCGCAAAAACTGCTGCAAACGCAAGCCGATACCATTAAGATTTCATGGCGTAACCTCGGGCACGTAAAACACGGTGCAAAAAAGCAGAATAATTATCACGAGAAACTAGCGTCGCGTTGCTAAGGCCAGCAGCCATGTTGAGCTTTTTTTTTTTTCCAAAAGGATCGCGATTGGTCCACGGAATCGTGACGTCATGAAAACGATTGGCTGGCGTTTCTCGGCGTAGGATTACATTTTCGTCTGAGAGGCATTTCCGGTTTTTTCTTAGCTTGCAACCGACTATAGTAATATTGATGGTAGTTTTCTGACTTTTTTTTTTAGACAAACAGCTAAAACCAACAATCACTTGTTCGCGCTAACGGTTTCGCGCTCTGTACAATAACATAGAGCTTTCGTAGACCGTTTTCGAAGTCACGCGACGCTTCTCCGCAACCCGCTACGATACCCAGAACTCTACAGTCAAGGCCATCGGCGCGCAGGCGCAGTAGTGGCTTCTTCGTTGCGGAGGGCTTAGCGAAAGAGGAAACGCGGTCTACGAAAGCACCTAATGAAGTCTTGGAGTAACGCAGGCAAGCACTTTGAGTAAGGAAAAATTAGCGTTGCCTAAGTTTTTATATTGCGGCGCTACTTTTAGGTTACCCAAAGCGCTTACGTACGTTATTCTAAAACTTCCTTATAGTGAACGGGATACTTTTTAAAAGTGATAAATCAGACAGGCTGACGGGCATATGATTGCGACTTCATTTTCTTACAAGTTCAAACACAGAACCGCCACGTATACACAGCCAAAAATCATAAACCACAAAATGCTGTCGCCTTGGTTGAGGAAGTCGAGAACGAAAATCGCGCCATCAGAAAGGCGGCACTCCAATTGTGATAGTTCGAGGCGGTCACCTGGCCCGCACGGCACCACCATTTGCAAGCTGCTGCAGCGATATCCTTCTCAAGGATCATACCGTTTGCAAGGCGATGAAGTTGTAAAGGTTCGGATGAGCCCTCCCTGACACAGCATTTATCTTACGGTGCCATGTCTCCGAGGTTGATGCGGGAGAGGGAGAAGTGATGTGAGCAAGGAGAACAGACACTGGCCACTTGAACCTAATCAACTGTTAACGAACAATACAAACTGACCGAACGATGGCCGAAGCGGAAGGTTGTTTTGGGAAAGGGCGAAATGGGAAAGGATGAAACGGGAAGGGCGTTTTGAGACGGGTCGAAACGGGAAGGTACAAACGGGTAGGTTGTTTTGGGATTGGGTCGAAACGGGAACCACCCATTTGAGCTAGTTGGTACATCACTAAGATGAAACAGCGCACAAAACGTCGGAGGAAGAGAAAAGTACAGTAGAACGAAAGAGCGCGGACTCTCAACTTAAATCAGTTGGGAGCCAGCGCTCTTTCGTTCTACTGTCCTTTTCTCTTCCTCCGACGTTTTGTGCGCTGTTTTATCTTAGCTTACGTGTGAGGATGTGAAATCATTTCTGCACGCAGCGCGCCAGGTGTGCCCTTTTCAAAAGGCGCTTCGGCAGTGACATCACGCTCCCCCGCTGCGCAGGCGCGGCGCCCCCGCCGGCTCCACGGCTTCAGCGACGATGCATCTGCGATGCGGAGCTTCTCTTTGCGTTTTATTTTTGAGGCACGCCCGCTTTGACCTTGAGCGGCGCGTGCTTGATGACCTTTTTTTATGGCCATCTCTCGGGCGCAACGCCGACGCCTTTCCGCGTAATGGGACAAGTCAAGCTTTCGTCCTAAAAACTCCCCCTCGAATGCACCGTGGGGAACACTGCTCAACAAATGCTCTATGCTCAAAAAATCCAGCGCCGACAGTGCGACACGTGACTTTCTTCTACGGGCGTCACTGGATCCTACATCGGAAGCTAACGTAGCAGGGCTTCTTCAACGCTGAATTGGCTCCCTTGACTGTCAGCGTTATGAGCCGTCTATATGACAGGTGGAGAACGCTACGCATTGCTCCTTGTTCACCAGCCTATAGGCCAACTCAAATCAGTGACGTCACAACACTGCGGTGGCGCTGTTGTTGGTACTGCGCATGCGCAGAAGCTTCACACCTACCGAATTCGCCCCCCCCCCCCCTTTCCTGGTGTAGGCAAAGCGTGCTTCTTTCCAAACACCGTATTGGTGTGGGTCTAGCCCGAAACAACCCATTCCCGTTTGAACCCGTCCCATTTCGACCCACTCCCGAATCGACCTTTCCGTTTGAAATGTCCCGCTTCGACCCGTTCTCAAAAAGACCTTCCCCGTCCCGTTTCAACCCATTCTCAAAACAACCTTCCCGTTTGAACCCGTCCCGTTTCGTCCCATTCCCGAAACGCCCTTCTCATTTGAACACGTCCCGTTTCAACCGATAATCGAAAGAGCCTTTGCGTTTGACCCCGTTCATTTTCAACCCCTTTGTATAAGATCCTGCGCATCACAACCTCTTCGCGAAAAGTCGAATCGTTCTAACCCTGGTCTGCGCACCTTTTCTGCTGAAGAATATATGTTCTGAAATATTATTGCATGCCAATGTATTCTAAAAATATGTACCTCTTTCAAGCAAGCTTCGAAGTAATATATTAGTCTTACTTCAACCACTGGAAATGTTTTTGCTTCTTTTCTTTTTTCTTTTTTTTCAAGAGGAGTTTTTTAGCGGGCAACCGCGAAACGGTCTATGTACACTCTGCGACACCGTTACAGCAAAGACGACATTGTCGCTTTTTTTAATTTTACTTCGAACCGGTATTAGCAGGCGCCAAATTTTAGTGCTTAAGGTACTGGCTCAGATGAGCACTTCCAGACAGTAATAATTTTTATGCCAGCCTTTTAATTCTATGAGATAAACAGCATCATAGCCGATCGTGTTCGCGCTACGTACAATAATGAAGTCTTGCATGCGCAAGCACAGTGAGTAAGCTAAAAAATAACGTCGCCATCACGACGCTGTTTTCAGGGGACCCAAAGTGCTTGCGTGCGTTATTTTAAAACTTCATATTAGTGATCTTGATATTTCGGAGAGCGATAAATCTGTCAGGGTGACAGGTGTATGATCGCGGCTTTATTTTCTTTCACAATTTCGAACACCGAACACTCGCGCACACAGGGAAGCATCACAGACCGGAAAATGCCTTCGCCTTGTTGAAAACGTCGTACAGGAAAATCGTGCCATCAGAAAGGCGACACTCCCGTTCTGATTGTTTGCGGTTCTTGCTGACCCATTTGTGACTCCTGGCCCGCACGGCACCACTCTTTGCAAGCGGCTGCAAAGATACCCTTGCCAAAGCCTCATCCCAACTGATCAAATCGATGAAGCTGTAAATGTTCGGGTGAGCCCTCCCTTACACTGTGTTTATCTTGCGGTGCCATGTCTTCAAGGTTGTTTCGGGAGAGGGAGAAGCCAGGTCAGAAAGGAGGGCAGACATTGGGCACTTGAACCTGATCAACTGTAAACGAACAATTCAAACGAACTTACTTAGCTGATAACAAACGATGGCCGAAACGGGAAGGTTGTTTCGGGATAGGGCGAAATGGGAAAAGATGAAACGAGAAGGTCGTTTTGAGCCGGGTCGAAACGGGAAGGTACAAATGGGAAGGTTGAATTGGGAACGGGTCGAAACGGGAACCACCCGTTGGTGTATACTCAGTTTCGCATCAAGTCCGATCGCAACCAATGATGTGATCTAAAAGAGTCAATTATACAAGCGGCGCTTGATATCACAAACCAATTACGAAGAGAGAAACACAAAAAGCGCAGGATCACGGCCTTCAATATGCGCGATTGGCTTAGCGATAGGACTTAATGTGAAACAATATTTTGTATTATTTTATTGGGTAGTATACACCCAAGGCCCAGAGGCATTGCAGAGTGGGATAGGATTATAGCGTGACAAAATAATGAACAAAAACGAGGAAATTCATCTAAAAGGTCCAGTCCGGTCACAGAATCTTTAAAATCAACAATAAGCCTAAAGACTGCCGCAATCGATGTGAACCCGTTGCGATTCCAATCAATAGAAGTACCGGGCGTGAATGATCTAGAGCAGATATTACCGTTACACTGTGAAATCCCAACTTTAAACGGGTTATATCTGCGTGATATGTAGAAGTTTACATTTCAAAACAAAAATGTGAAAACAATATTTTTACTAGAATACAGGCGATAAATTTTTTGGCGTTAACGAAGATTAGGCAATATTAATATATTTTTCGTATGTGTTACGGTCGATGAACAGCAGGCATTAGGAAGTGTAAAGCGTGAATAAAGAATGGTGGTATACGAGGAACGTGTTTGAGCTGACCTTGTAAATCTGGGCCAAAAATGTTCCGGAGACTGACAGATAGAGTGCCATGCCGCTCTGGTTAATTATGACGCCCACGGGAGCCACAAAGCGAGCTACGCGGGCGTCCAGACCCGAGTTCTGCTCCAGGGCGTACACCGCGACCGGCAGGGTGGCCGCTCCCGACGCCGTGGCCGCGGACATGAGCAGCGCGTTGTAGATACGTCCGTAGAAGGAGAACAGGGCCACGTCCCGGAACCGGCACAGCACGAGCCGCTGCAGCAGTGGCAGGACCAGGAAGGTGAGCACGCAGACAGCGACGAGCAGAACCACGATGTAGGGACGGAGCGCAGACATTTCCTGCGTGCTATACACGAGAGAAAAACTGCAAGCGACCGCACTGCCGGAACTGTGTGTAAAGATGTACTGTCACACAGCTAGCACATCACGCAAAAGAGAGTGTGCAGCTCTATGAGGTGTGTTTGTGTTTTTTTTTTTTATACAAACACTGCAGACATGTGCCTTATATGTGTGAAGCAAACATGATTCCAACATTATTGCGGCGCAGATAATTGCTGCCGTCGTGTCTATAATAAACCGTTTGTCCCGAGCACCCGCAATTCATTCCTATTCTTTTCCTCAAAAAACCGCTGATTTTTTTTTTTTCGCAACAGACATATTGTTTTTAGGTGCGCATATGCAGCGCGGGTGCTCGAGGTTGGCTCAGGCCACGGGCTGTTCGCGCCGATCTACGCGAGCTATAGGTTTTGCTCGCCCAGTCAGCATTCGGACAATCGACATACACGATTGTTCGAATGCTGACTTTGACGTCAGCAAAGGATGTCTTATCGACGGAAGTAAGAGGAATGTCAGAACTTTATTTTGGACATGTTGGCAGTGTTTCCTTGAGAACGGAATGATTCCAAGCTTCCACCATGCTCATTACAAACACCTTGGGACTTGTTGTACGCGAGGTAATGACGTAAGGAGAGGTAACCACAAGAGGGATGCCACCGAAACATCTCGCCGCTAATACCGGCAGTTTTTTGACTGGCTCCGAAGTTCGTTCGAAGCATTCAAACGTATCATATAAACACCCTAGCTGATGCTGTTGCCAGTTGGTAGCGCACTTGGGTTTCCTGCGTTTGCGTCATTTAAGTGCAGATGAAGTCGCTTGCGCAACTGAAGCCTTCGCATCTTGTTGCGGCTTCGGCGGCGTGCGTCGCTTTGTTTGCCGCATGAATTTTGGTGCCAACGAGTACGAGGCGACGTGCTGTAATAGATTTTTGCGGCGTGAATTTCGCCCTTAAACTTCGCTCCACTGAATTCAGCCTTTAGACGCGAACCGGTATGAGTAGAGTCAGATCATGCCCAAGTTACATTCTTAGGTTATGAAAAGGGTTTCTGTCCACTGTGTCATTTTTCAGCGGTCGTGTGTACGGCGCGTGCTTTGCTGGCTTTCGGAATTGACGAATGTGCGCGTGATGAGCTGCGAAGATGGCATGCTGAGCTGCGAAGGTGGCATGCTTGGCTCTGCGACCTTCAGAACCCAGCATTTTGCAAACAAAAGGTTGCTGACCGGTGCGATCTTCAGCATTCGTGCGTATGGCAGGTACTTTGCTCGCTTTCCGAAGTGATGAACGAGCGTGTGCTGGCCTCCAAAGATAGCACCCTGGGCTGCGATTTTGTAAACATCAAAACGCGCCGAAAGTACTTTTTTTTTTAAACCCTTTGGCTAGTCCAGGGGTCTCCAAACCCCGGCCCGCGGGCCAAATCCGGCCCGCGGAGGTCTTCCGACCGGCCCGTGGCTGGCTGCAGTCCTCCCAATGAAGCCCGGCCCACGGCCCGCTTCCAGCACGCCCGCTGCTACTGGCGAAAAAATAAGCGCGTGTGAAACGGCGCCGCGGCGCGCACCAACCGCGTAAACGAAGTTACCAGAAAAAAAAACGACAGAAAACTGCCTACCGTAAGGCGTGTCCTCTGGTCATATTAGTAATTGGACATTGTCATTAGCAGAATCCCCACTCCTAGTCCCCTGTTCCATGTCTGGGTAACTAAATGAGGTTCAAATTAATTTACCTCCCTATGTATATTGTGCTTGGTGTACTGTGCCGTAGCTATTAAATAGACACTTTCAGGCAGCTCCGCATGGGCGCCGCCATAACCGACCTTCAGTTTTTGTTTCCTCTGATTCCGTTTGCTTCACTTCATCATTACCAGAGCGGGACAGGTTATCGCCACTTTAGGTGCTACTGTGTCCTTCTCTCCAGCATAGGCCTCCCTGGAGGCTCGTAAACGCCCGCTTCAGTGACCCGGCATTTCGGTAAAACAAGAGAAGGTCGGCTATGGCGGCTCAATCTGGCGCGTGATTAAAGCGTCTATATTGTCAGCATAACTTATATCGTTCTCACTGGTCTTCTGCCCTGTGTGAACGTGCCAAAGTTCCTATGCGCTCTGGTTTATGCTGGTATGTTTTCTGGGCTCCATGTATTGTGTGATGTCATAAGCAGCTAAATGATTAAATTTGATAACAAAGTGAATGCATTCGTCCACCATAGAATCTCTTTGTTTCATGTTTACTCTAACTTTAAATATTGTATATTTAAATGCTTAGATATCTAGGATTATTTGTTTAGATTTTCCTCATTTACATCTGCAGCCCATTTATATTTCCGGCCCTCGAGACAAAGACAGAGCATCCATCCGGCCCCTTAGCCAAAAATTTTGGAGACCCCTGGGCTAGTCGAACACAACTGACTGCGCGTGCTGCTCCCGTCGCCTATTTATACAGGCGAAGAGAGCCCCCCCTGGCGGCGCCCACTCATTGTTCAGAAAGGGACCAGAGTGCGTGTGAGGCGTGAGGGGGCGTCGGCAGGGTTCGTGCACGTTGGCAGCCAGCGTGTCCACAAGCGCTTTATTACAAAAAGAAGTGAAATGGCCGTGGCCAGGCGCCATGGCAAAGCACGGCCATGGCCACGTGTCACTGCAGACACCACTGCCGCGTTGTCGCAGAGAATGATAGTTCCATGGGGGAGCGATGAGGGCTGCTATAGTGAGGGCCTGTGCTTCTCTCACGCCCAAAGCAGTGAAAGTGGTCAGTTTTCTAGATTTTTATTAAACATCTCCAGCGCTATCGTGGGTAGATCTAAGCATCGTACGAACTTCATTTCATCTTAAAAATGAACCTCAAAAGGAGTCAATTCTCTCGTGCATTTCTGAAGCTCGGGTCTGGGTAGCAAAATTTGCCCATTGAGTGACGATCGGATGAATCCCTCTTAAGAGGTTTGTTTTTAGCTTATCTGGTGTAGGCTGTCTGTTTTAGGGGATTTGCTGTTGGTAGCATTGATTTAGGAGACGCGCTTTAGGAGGTGCGAAAAAAGAGATTAATACCCCAATGGCGCGTCTTGCCATTGGCGTGGTTGTGCGAAAGGATCAAAATGTCACTTTCTTCGCGATCATGTATAATTTTGCGTTCGAAAATTGTCGTTTTTTCCTGGAAAGGGGCGCTAACGACTACTACCGTAAACTATGCGGAGACAGATTGAGAAACCCACATGTTTATTGCAGTCAATGACAGCTTAACGAACGCCCCGCATTACTTAAGCTGGGAACGCGACAGAACAGCACACGACAAAACAGCACGCGACAAGACAGCACGGTCAAAACAGCACAGCGTCAAAACAGCACAGCGTCAAAACAGCACGGCGACAAAACAGCACGCGTCAAAATAGCACGCGACAAAACAGCACAGCGTCAAAACGGCGCAGCGACAAAAGAGCACGTGCCAAAACAGCACGGCGTCAAAACAGCACAGTGACAAAACAGCACGCATGTAGCAACTTCGAGCGTGCTCTTCACCTCTCCCTGCGCAAATAATTTCTAACCTCCTTGACCCTTTCATATATTGGTGCTAGGTTTAAAGGATGGGGACAGACTTGAAGAGATTGGGTAGTTAAAGGTGATATCTTCGCGTCGATGTTGGCCGCGTTGTCTGGTCTTTTTTGTAGGACCAGCGAAAGCGGAAAAGTTATTGGGAAAAATAAATCCATAAGTTGAAGTTATGAACCGTCTGGTTTGCGGCGGTCCGGTGAGGTTCCATAGTATACTCGTCGTTTCGTAATTACCACCTAAGCGTAGAACAACCCCCCCCCCCCCCCCAAAAAAAAAAAAAAAGCGGGAGATGCGCCGATTACAAATGCATTGATACAACCGGTAAGATAAGGTGACTTTAATGTTGAGCGTATTCAAGGTGTACCATGGGCACCGATTCTGCGCGGTTCAATCGCCGTGAATAAAATTTGCAGAAAACACGCGGCTGCAGCTTGCAGGCGAGAAGTCGTTCTGAATTAAATTCACAGATTATTTCC